AATAGAAAGTATTAAGGAATCAGAGCATGTGTAAACAATATAGAAGCATTCGATTTATTTTTGTGTGCTGTCCTAATGCAACAACTAATGCTAAGATGCAAATGCTAAGATCACTAAATCTAACCAAAAAAGAGAAGAAAAAAAAATCTATATTTCTTTATAAATGCAAACACAAAAAATGCATGATCTCGCTGATTTCTTTGCATATGTACGTTTTGGACCACAACAAAGCACATTGTGTTTATTCTCATTTAACAATCTCCTCCTCTTCCTCTCTACTTGAGAAGTGGGTTTTAAAGCCCCGTTCCTGACTGCGTTAACCAATGTCCATTTTATCTTATGCACGCTGGAAATAACACCAAATAAAAAGTCACTAAACGGAAAGGAAAACTACTTCTGGGAAACAACTGGATGATGCTTTTAGTTTTGGTCTAAACATTGAAGGAAGGAGAAGTTAATCGAATAGAGATATTGTGAGGTGAAGGTTATTACGTGCTCTCATTAGGAGAATCACACAACATTCCATTCATCAGTTTTCCACCTGTTTGGTCTGGAATAAAGGGATTTTTTTGCATTTTAGCAACAGAAACCCCAGAATTCTGATATTCATCTGTCATAAAAAAAAATAGACATACCGTAATCACCACCATTTTCCTTAATTACACATCTCGGTATAATCGAGTGTCAGCTGATGCAACACTAATGTTCATGATTCCAGGAGACTAAATGTATATTACCACAAAGAAATCATTATCTGTGTTCATGTAATTAAGTTGAAAAGGTTTCATATTTCTTCTGTGCTTTTTTTTTTTAAATTCTCAAAGTGAATCACTCTAAATGTTAAAATCTTCATTCTTTGAAGTGCACTTGGGTATTAGGTGTGGTTGTCGTAGTAAATAAAAGATTTGGAATATCTTGAACGAGATCTTCTGTTTTTATTTCTATTTAATAGGGTGAAAACTTGACTTAATTGAGACTTGGTTTGGAACATTTAACACATTTCCAGATGTTGGATTAGGTTGGAACATTCTGTCCCGAGAAAAACGCTACCTGGTGCTACTTGATGTACTATTTCAGGTTTCTCACCTGGATCATCAGGGCGTCCTGTGGTGAATTGGCACCCTGCACTGGGGGATTAGGGCTCAGGTGGCACTGTGAAATGAAACAGAATCATCTCTCCTGGAGCTGTTTTCCCCTTCACTCTCTCACACACACCTACACACACACACACACACAGTGTACCAGGTGTTGGTGCATGTAATCCATCTTTACACAAGCATCTGCAACCAGGTGTTCTGTCAGCTTATGTTAGGCCAGTAAAGCAGCCAGTGTAGGCTTAGCTAGGGCGGGCCTCAGTCTGCACAACGAAACTCCTCAATAAAGTATAAACAATCTCCTTGACTGTCTCATCCTCTGCCAGGCCTTATTAGCCAAACTGGAAAAGAAGAGTCTAATGAAGACAGGGATGCTCCACGCTTCAGAAAATTACTAATTCCTTATGCATGTCCACAAAAAATAGCCAGTTAATCGTAGTTAAACATCCATTCCAGAATATAGATCTTAGAAAACCATTTAACATGACTTATACATCATCATTTGAACTCATTTGTGTTAATAAATGCATTTTTTTCCCATATCAAATTGTTTAACTTGTTAACAGAGCGAATGGGTCATGTCAGGCGGACACTTTTTTCTTTTCTTTTTTTTTGTTCCCTCCAATGCTATAAAAGCTATAAAAAAGCTACGAAGTTAAAATGTAATTCAAATTAGCCTCAGCACCAAGTCATTTTCATTTAGAGGCACTTTATTACATTAGTGCAGAGTCTACACCACCAGCTGTCTGCCATGTGTTCCTCAGGAACATTAAAACTGGCTTCAGCTAGTCCAAGCTGCTCCTTTCCGGACTGGAAACTGTCCACCGGTGCTTTAGTTTACTCAGTCCGCTGGCAGAGGTGGAAGCAAAGATATTCAGAGGGGTCAGGATGATTTTTACTGCTTACTTTGATAAGGCATCTAGGATAAAATGTCAAAGTTATCATGACATTTTGGCTCCATTTCTGCAGGAACTCTCTGAAACAATATTATCCCCAGCCTGAGGCCAGTGACACAGCACCTGAAGCAGTGTAGCCCTTCAGAAGGTGCAAAGCTGGATCTTTATCCCCTAAAAATCTAAGGGAAACATTTTGAGTGATACAGCAGCTCACATCTGTACTTCACTTTTATTTTAGTACGATCTATATTCCTTACAATGCACACATTTTAGGTCCACTTTTTTAATGCTGATTGCTCAGTTATTCATACTAAAATGTAGAAATGAGAAAAGATATTTCATATTTGATTGCAGTAATTATTCAACCTCAAGTCCGTACCTCAGCAGTGTGATTAAATTAATATGGCTTTTCTAAAAGAGAAAAAATTGAATTTGAGTACGACATAAACAGAATAAGTAATGAATCTTATCGAACACTGCATTTAATTTATATTTTCCCGTCGCTTTGGTTTTAATTAAAGCCAATGGGTTTTTGCTACATTCATTGCTTTCTGTAATCAAACATTTTTATGAAAATGCTTTCATTGTCACTGATAATTGTTTATTAAGGAATATATATATCTAAATGAACAGTAATTGTTTTATAATCACAGAAAAGCTTGGTTCAAAAGTGTTATTTAAAAGGGAGCCTGTTTAAAATAACACACACAAAACAGACTGTTCTAAATTATTTGAATGACATTTCCTTTTTTTCCATTCCGCATGTCCGCATCCTCAAACATCATTTGGGATTTTCTGTCAGATAGCAACATAAAGGATGTATACCAGGGAACTTTTCATTTTAAAACATGGCTTGCACTCTGTGGTATAAGCTCCCATAAAACATGGTGTAGAGCTAAGATTGGCTACAGTTACAGCTTCAGGTTATTTGCAGTATGTCTCTGCTTTGCATTCTTAACTGGATTTATGTCTGGACTTAGACTTGACTATGCCAAATCAAAAATACGCTGTGATCCTTAAATTGTAGCTGATATGTTTTAAGTGTTACCTTGTGACTGTACGCTCACTTTTTTTCCTGCTTGAAAGCAAATTTCCAGCAAAGTCTGAAGCCTGGACAAGAGCCCCTACTTTGTGTCCAACTACAGTAAAATCAGGTCGCCCTGCTTAAACCGTAGCCTGAATCATCACACTGTGACATAACAGCTGCCACACATCCAGAGGAAGGTTATTTTGCCACGTTTCAACTTCACTGAGAGATTTGGGTTGAAGAGGGAGGGTGGGAATAAGAGCATAAGGGATAAGGGCTGGAGATGGATCGCTGACCAAGCCAGTGACGCCTTATAATCCCAGGCTGCAATCTAAGCCAACAGCTGTTTGAGACACGATGACCTAAATATTATCCAATGCATTCAGCGACTAATAGGTTTTGCCTCACTCACCAACGTGTGAACCAAAGTCAAGGTTTTTTTTCTGCATTCGGCTCAAGAGAAAGTCACAGAATAAACCTGACAAAATAACAATGAGCATTTAACAGTTCATTACTTTAATATGCCTTTAATGTGGTCAGTTGAAGTTGAACTCTTCAAATCCATTTGTTCTTCCTGGCCATGATATCATGAAGTGTACATTTGAGTAAAGATGTTATTTCAGGAATTCTTTTAATGCTCTGATATGTGCCACCTGCTCATCTTTTATCATGTTCAGCCGATTTCCTTTGGGCAGTGGCTAAGCACACTGCCACTCTGAATTCAATGAAGTTTGTTTGATGAAACCATTTGGCTGTGCAGAGCCCTTGTAACCCCTTAGCAACTCATCACCATGTATATTAGACACACGCTCTTGGAAGGCACTTAAGCCTCAATCGCTGTGAGGAGTAAGGACCGTGAAATTGTGCTCTCAAAACTCCAGCTGATGTTATATTGTGGCTCTCCTCGTGGCTCTGTGTGTTTAAATCAAGCTTATTTTCACCCCATTATTCTGTTTTAACGTTCAAACGGGAAAGTGACCTCTTGCTATTTTGAATTAAAAACTCCATATGTCAGAAGAATCCGAATCAGGATGACACTAACTGACTTAGCCGCTCATTTTAGAAATAATATTCCGAACTCTCTATTATACACAGGTTAAAAATCATACATAGTGGCTCTAATAGATCCATACACCTCACATGTAATTGGTTAGATGCCCTTTAGCACATTGCAGAGAAAAAGTATTAATTGGAGTATTAATTAAGGTCTTGGCATCATTCTGGTTGGGTATTTGACAACTCTTCTCATAGAAGAATGGTTTAACTGTTAGTCCAGCAGGCAAAAGTAGAGTTTTACAGCTTTACGTCATGGACTATTTGTGCAAATTAACACGAATAATATTTAAATGAATCAGGGTGAAGCTTTAAACCTAGAAACATTGAACAAACAACAAGCATAGTGGTGGTATCATCATGCTGAGGGTTCGTTTTGACTGTAGCGCTGGTGTATTGCATAAAGTGTTTGGTATAATGATAGTCGTCGAACAGGAAAATTATCAAAAACAATTAACAGGGTGTAAAAAAGTTAAACCGGGTTAAAATTAGCTTTTGAGAACCTTTACCCTCAACTGAATTGAAAAATTATGCACTATGCTTGAAGGTCGTGTCTGAGCCAAAAAACTAATTAATATAGATAAGCTCTTATTTCAGATGAGGAGCATTGGTCCAATATTCAGCCGGAACTTCTAAAAGCTGGTAAAGGCCACTTACCATGTATGTGAATTAGGGAAAATCCAGCTTAAACACAAACTGATGCTCCTAATTAATATTTTAAAGATTTATTGAAGTTGTATTTTGCATCATAATTTTACCCTGGATAATGAACGGTTCAAATGAATCATTAAAAAGCCAGAATTATTATTCAGATACGTGATGATTATAAACCTCTGACACTCTTTGCATTCATATCAACTTTTTCTAGCTAAAGACAAAAATAGTAACACTCAAATTAAAACCCAGCACATATTATAGTCAGTCAGAGTGAGCAGGAGTGTTTTATTTCACATCTTTTATACCCTGTTTACACCAATTTCATATATGTTCATTGCATAATAGTTTATATACTAATATAAATTTGGTTTTCTCTTGTAAACATGTGGAGAGTATTTACATTTTTTCTCTGCATTTTAAGGATTTTTCCTTTATTTCTCTTCTGCAAATGTCAAAAGTACTTAAAAATATTCCAAACTGTGTCCATATTAAATAAAACAACTTCAAAAAGCAATCAAATCTCTAGTACAAAATAGATATATGTATGTATTCAAAACACATTCAGACTAAGGCTTTAATGTAGCAAGCATTCTAAAAATATATATCTAGCAAATGCATTTAGATCCCATGTTAGAGTTGAATTATCTCAGCACATAAGACGCTTATCAGTAAAAGTTTCAAAGACATGATTCCAGTATATGTTCATCCTCCGATGCAGAAAGAGATAAATGTGCTTCCTGTGTTGCTGCGCTGGGAGCAAATGTCTCTTTACGTCTTCTGCTGTCTAGAGTATCAAACTAAAAATGCATCAACAAAAATAAAATATTGGGCCTCCATTTAAAAGCAATAAATATTAGAAAATAAATTATCTCAAAAATGTTAGTGTCTCAGATTCTCTGAGTGGATCTCTGACTTAGCACTGAGTAATAAAGCTCTCACAGTAGTGTTTAAGGAAATAGTCTTAGCATGTTTGGTCCACAAACCTCCAGTCAAAATATTCTAGCTTTGAGACCTGTCTAGGTTTCGTAAGGATTAAAATGACATTCCCTGAGGTGATTGGATTATTTCTTTTTCCCAGCTGCAATATGTCTCCTAGTAACAGCCTCCAGCCTCTTCCTCTCAGCTTCCTCTGCCCTTCTTCTCTCTTCTTTGAGCTCCTTGTAGCGCCACTTGGGGATCTGAAGCAGGTTTCCTCCTCCATCTTTGGCGCTGCTTTTTCTCCTGATCTGTTCCGGTTCATAGGTGGAAGGGGGGGCCTTTGAAATCCTGACCTTTGGGATGCTTAAGCCCGGCCTGACGCTACTCCTCCTCAGCACCATGTGCAGCGGCAGCAGACTTGTTCTTCGCAGCTCTAGGGCTTGGTTGTGAGCAACAACGCCCAAGCTGGAGCTCCTGTTTCTAGGCACAGATCTCTGGACTTGAAGGCTGGACCGCCGGTTGTCAGAGTTCTTTGCTACCAAAGTGACCCGTGAGTTTTCAAAAAGTTTGAGGTGGCTTTCCACCCTGTCGGGGTTGGCGCACAGAAGCTCTTTGGCACGCTGCTTGCGGATAATCTCTGGAACTGCATAACGACGTTTGCCCACACTTGGAGGACTGTCAGGACACACCTATAAAAAAATAAAAAAAAAATAAACATTTTCTGATAAGCAAAAATAGCTGCATTTAAGTAGAGTGTAACTGTAGCAGCAATTCTCATAGTTCTGGATGTTCTTTTTAGAGAATTGGAAACAAGGCTCAATTATTCTTTTGTATTTTCCAGTACCATTAATCCTGCATGGATAAACTGCTTATCTGATAATGAAGGAATTAGTTATTTCCTGTTATTAATAAGAACAGAGAATTTATTGATAGAACAGAAAGATAAATTAATGCAATAGTTATCCTTTGAAATCTAATTACCTCAATTCTTAACACGGGCAGCAGGAAAACAGCAATTTAGAGGGCATACGATATATGCTTCTGCAACGTGAGTTAATAGCTCCACTTATCACCTTCCCAATAGTGCCTCTGCAAAAGTATTAATAGCCCTTGAACTTTTTCTTATTTCGTAAATTGCAATAGCAAGCCTTGGTGAATTACAGGGGGAATTTATGCGACAGCCCAACGCAAAGTAGCACATTAATATAACAAGGAAAGAAAAGGATTAATCCTTTCAAGATCAGTTTACAAATAAAGTGTAGTAGAAGGTTTTTGTGTCTTTTGAGTCCCTTCACATTTCTAAACTTCCAGAAATTGACATTTCTGCTATCCATATCAAGCTCAAGATTGAGCTTGGATCCTATCTGATCAGAGATTTGTTATCAACAGCTTTGCTGTATCTCCGACATGACTTTTGCAAAACTATAAATGGGACTTTTTAAGGTTCTTACCAATATCTTAATATTTATCTTCTCAAGAAATTCCCCTGTCAGAGCTGGGAAACTGCAGCTCCTCCAGTTACCATGGGCCTCTTGGCTGCATCACTGATTTATCCTCTCCTTGCCTGGCCTTTCAGTTTGTCTCAATTGATTATTGGTATTGCTGCATTCTTTTCATTCCTGGATCAACAATTGAGCAGTGCTCCAAAAGATAGGTTAGGATATTGTATTATGAACCAATCCAATGTTAAACTTCATCACAAACATACCTCTCTGCTGTGTTCAATACAAATGTAAGATAATTATTTTATATTTCTACAAGTAAAAATCCTCCAAACGACGAATCATTGTCCATCCACTTCACAATTATACACTGCACTGTGTTGGTCTATTATATTCAACTCCAATAGAATACAGTGACAGTTGCTGTAGTAACAAAATGTGGGAAATAAAGAGGGTGAACACTTTTGAAATACATTGTAAACCCCTCAATCCATAGGTTTTGTCATCATTTGTAAAGTAAAGAGACTAATATAGTGAAGATTGTTTGCAAAAGGCATAGAAAGAATACATGTAGAGCAGATGTACTCACAGTACGGCAGGCCACAGCGATAAAAGGGCTTCTCATGGCAGTAGTAACAGACACCATGTGGTCGATAACGCCTTCCTCCTCAGGGTTGGTGACATTTGCGATGTTGAAGATGTTGCGCACAGTGTCCGAGAGGCGCTTGAGACATCCGCGAGGCTCCTGGGCTTTAGCGACCAGAGATGCCAGCGGGGGCCACTCAAGACTAAAGGGAGTAAGTTTTATTAAAATAATAATATTTTCTGCATTCAAATAATACTCTGATCTAAACACTATGGGAGATTTTTGCAATATAGACACACAATCTAAGTTTTACCTGTATGTATCAGAGTATTGGAAAGGATAGGGACGCTCCATCAGACGTGTCATCACCCAGGCAGTTTCATAACGAGCCGTAAACAATGCCCATTCCCTGGCAGTCAGGTTCCGACCAAAGTCCCTTGCATCAAGGGAAGCCCCTGATAGACGTAGAGAAAGAAAAGACAAAACATCAGTGGAGAGTATAGAGTACATAACCTTGTTGCAATGACAAACTTCAGTGTATTAAATTTGTGTAGAGGAAACCTTCTACAGCACACGTGCTTGAACAAAACCTCCCAAAAGTAAAACATGGAGATGGCAGCATGATGCTGTGATGTTTTATTTTATTTTTTACAAGGTAAATGAAAGCTAGTCAAAGCCAGCTGTGTGGTGGATGGATAAAGATTCTGCTACAGACTTGGTAATGGAGTTGGTGCCACTAAGGTCTAGTTCTGATGGTCAACATTTCTGTTGTCCATTTACCTTTAAAGTAGGAATGGATTTGTGAGGGTTGCACCCAACACAAAATGCTACCATGTTCCCTTTGCTGGTCCTAAATCAGTAGGAAATACAAATTTCTGTGCTCAGTGGTAACCTGAATAAAATTATATCATAAAGAACATATTAGAAAATACAGAATCTCCCTTACAAGATAAGAATACTACAGTCCTTACATTGGCCATGGTTCCATACAACTGCAATGCAACTTTTAAGCGAGCTTTTAAAAGTAAAAAGGAAACATGGAAATGTTTCCATTTGGTTTAAATCAAACTAACCGAGCAGCACAAAGCATAATGTAGTCATATGTTGTCTACATTACATTTCCATGCAGGGCTGTGATAAACAAGAAGTAGAAGCTGCAATCTAGCAATGACCACAGATCAGTAATGAAGGAAAGTTTCAATAACTGTTTTGCAGTTAGGTAAGCTGTTCTTTCTTTAACATGTCAGCCAGTTAGCAGGCTGGTGAAGATTCTCAGTCATCCAGGGCATGGCTTAGAAATTTGCAAATTTAACAGAAAGAACAGGTCCACCCCTTAGTAATCGGGAGTCGTTGAGGTCAGTATCGGGTATTGCAGGCTAACAAAGACCTCAACGACTCCCCATTACTAAGGGGTAGACCTGTTTTTCAAGTTTAATTTGCATGTTACATAAGCCATAAAAAGGCTTTGTTGGGCTACTCTATAAAGCTTAGAACTAAACACTATTCCTGACATTTTAAATTGAAAAAGCTTCCTGGATGGGAAGCAAAACGTCTTCAAACTTGGAAATCAAAGTCCAGTGGGGTTTTTTTGTAAAATTTTTGTAACTTTCTTAGAATATCAGTTTGTAATGGGGATGTTGCCTACAAGCCAGGTCTATGTGCATAACTTCTTCTTTGCGAGTTTTTTTCAAATTTTGCTGATTCCATAAAATTTTTCCGATGCAAAAAAATTTAAACTTGCTGCTACCCAGATTGCTATAGGATATCCTTACAGCCATCACATTCTATAATGCCTGAAAGGCTGAAACATAGTGTTGTTAGTCTGATGCCCAGTTCTGTCAGTAACACATTTACCATAACATTTTATGTTCTGCAATTACAGAATAATAGAAAGCGTCACAAACTAAATTTTACCATCGTTACCATCTGAGCTGAACAACACATGGTAACCAGCCTAAATAAAGAAGAGAAGAAGACTGTTATTCTTTGCTGTTCTATATTAGGAGAAGACGATTTTAAAGCACCAGAAAAAGAAGACGGTTTTAATTTAATTTATAGTTTTAAAAACAACAGAAGAAGACGGGTAACCAGCTTCAAGTGGCTATATTTTAAATATGTCACCGAAATGACAAGTGCACAGCAACCTTAAGCTAGAGGCTAAACAAGCAGTTACCTGCAAGATGTCAAAAGATGACAGCACGAGTAAATCTGAACAATGAAATTTGGATTTCTCCAGATCAGGTCAGGATGTTTGACACAGGAGAATCAATGGCGTAACGACACAAAAATAAGCAACATTATCTGGGTGGGCCCCATATAAAGTACAATGCGTGATAAAGGTTCAAGATATGGCGACAGTTCCATAAATCGGCCAAGAAGATACAATGATGCAATTCTCAGCAGTATATGATCACACATCACACGCGGAAAAATGGAACCATTGGTGACAGCGCACCACCACATGTTACAGACATCCCAAATTCCAAAAACTAATTTCAGGGAGATTATCGCAAAGTTAAAAGTACCAATGTCTGCTTTGCTATTGGTGTTGTGTTTAAACAGCTCACCATCATGTTGAAATCTAGCATATGTTGTGGTATAAATACACCGGTCCAGTCAGTCACTTCAGTATCAGGTGGGTTAAGAGGAATTTTTTCGCACCATTACATCTGCAAAGAGACGTCCTAGTCTACATTTGCGTAGGGGGACTACCAGGTGTCAGTGATGGGGTCCCTAAGACGTTGTCGGCCCCTAAGCAACTGCAGTCTCTGCTTACCGATATTTACGGCATAAAGGAGAATTGAAGAGGTTGGTGACTGAGTAATTTGTAGAGGATAGGCTAAGTCCTCCTACAGCTGAGCAACATTTCAAAAGCTCGTCAGCAAAATCCTTGTTCGACCAAGTGACAAGGTAAAAAACTATCTCTAATAACTGTTGTTAAGGTATAAACACAGATAGTTCATTTAACAGTTATAGTATAAACTACCGTCATGTTTGATTTAATGGAAATGGGACTTTTTGGTTCTACATCTTTTATGGTAAACAAGAAACATGATGGTAAATGGCCAGTAATTATATAGCGCTGACAGAGGAGTGGCTGCCTTACACAGGCGCACCGGGCCCTCTGACCACCATCAGTAAGCAATGCAGGTGAATTGTCTTGCCCAAGAACATGACGACACTGTAAGCCTGAGCCGAGGCTTGAACCAACAACAGGGTAAACTCCTACATCCAACATACTCAGTGGCACTATAATCAGTGCAACTCATTTGTCAAACCATACACACCAAAATAATGCAGATTGGTTTTCAATGTAATCAGAAGTGTAGACCTTTAAATTGATTGTTCAATTTAAGAATTAATAATAAACTTCATCCATGTAATCATTGAAATTCTAGTTCTATTTAAAATTCAAATAACGACATCATAGTAACTACATAGTTACTTTAAGTAGTAACGAGTTCATTTCGCTGACAAGTAACTAAGTTAATAGCTCAGTTACTTTTTGGAGAGGTAACTAGTAACTAACTACTTATTTTTTAAGTAATGCAGGCAACTATTAACCCTTTATAGTGCAAGTTACCGTTCTTGATCACTTGCGAACCCTTTACAAATGGAGCCCGCCCCCAGTCCCTCACTGAGGTCTAGAAGCACAAGATCTATATCCAGCCATTCAGCAAAGATACTGCTACATGGCTGTACATCTTATTTTGGCTTTTGACCAATTAGATGAGTCTTTGAATAATAATTACCTACTGTAAATTAAGTTGAAAAAAAAAGTTAACAAGTCAAGAAAAAAAAGGTAAAAAAGTCAAAAAAAAATAAGCCTAGTTAAGCATATTTTGGTTTATAAACCAAAAAAAAATGTAAGTGTCAGTATCAGCATTAATGCCTCAAATGTACCAAAAAGAATTGTGTATTTCACTCCTATTGTGTTTTTCATGAATTTCTTATAGAAGCACTTTTGTTATTTTTCTTAATATATTCTGGCAAGTTAGCCTTTCTTGTTCATTTTTGCCATCAAAATAACCATACAACTATTCCTCTGTCTTGTCCTGGATTCTAATAAAACTGTATATTGATTTTCAAAGTATTTCACTGAGTCCCCTATAAAGGGTTAAAAAGCTACCTTTATAAATGTCTCACAGAGATGATTCAAAGTTGGGCACAAAGAAATGACTAAAATCAAAGTTAGACAGTACAGCGGTTCGCTTGTTATTGTAAGTTTAAAGTTATGATCAAGAATATACTTCTAATTGTATGTGTATCAGAAGAATTTAAAAAAGTAATGTGCATATAGTTTGGCATTTAACATTAAAGTTGATAAATTAATGAACTTTGGACATTTCAAAAGCTTACTGAGTTTTAAAGCAGCAGAATAAGATTGTTCACTTTCCCAGCCATCTAAATGAAGTCTCTAATCATAGCCAATAATCTACAAATCTCAGTGTAATATGTCTCTATCCCGTATGTATATGTATGTAGTATATAGACCATGTTCATTCTGAGCATTTGATCAATTCCACAGGCTGCTCACCTGCCATCATGAGCGAGCGCACACATTCCACTCTGCCCTGCATGGAAGCTTTCATCAGAGCAGTGAAGCCGTGACAGTTTCTTCTCTCTATGTCCAGCCCAGAGTAGTAGTTCAGCAAATAGTTGGTGATCGTTATGTGGCCTTAAAAACAGGAAGGAAAGAGGTTTTGTTTAGGTAAATTTCAGAATAAGCTGAAACTTTAATATTTTCTAAAGAGGCTTAGAAATTACTCGTTCAAGTGGCACTCAAACTCGTCTGCAATGTTTGAACCTACAATCATATGGGTGCTGAGACAACACACTCACCACTTCTGTTCTAGCCAGAGTGGTGCTAAAGCAAACTAGTCTGTGCATTTGTCTGCGTCAGCATCAGTGCCAAAGCGCCCATTTGTTGCATTTGTGAGAGCATGTGTCAGACAACACTGTGACGCAGCCTGACAGCATGGGTGCGTATGTGTGTGGAGCTGAGCCTGTTCTTAATGATAAACCGACCATTTGTGCGTGTTTGTGTCTTTGTGTTACCTGCTTGTGCTGCAGTGATGAGAGCGGTGTTTCCTTCGCTGTCCTGCCAGTTAACATCCAGGTTCGGACACTGAGACAGCGCTATGATGACGTCCACGAAACCTTGGTAACATGCCACCAGCAGCCCTGTCTGAGATGGAAAAAATGACAGGAGTGAGGTAGACAAGGGAGGAGGAAAGACGGTGGAGGAAAACTAAAGGTTAAAATCAGCAAAAATGTAACTAAGTGCTGACCTCTAGGGAGTAGCATGAAGAAAATATAATCAAGGCATTATGAGAGGTAATCGAAAAAGACAAGTGGACCTTTGTGACTCCTCAGAAAAAATAAAGTCCGTAGTTAAAGCTGGCATCTGTTGGGTTTTCATTAAAGGACCCTGAGGACAATGGGAAAAGTACAAAGCGTCTTTACCGCATGCTGATGTGTACTTATCTTTTTTTTTATGCGTCAATGAATGTGTACTTTCTCACATCTGTGTGGACAAATGTGTAAATGTTTGTCTGGGGCAAATTTCTGAGCAGAGTGAGCTGAGAAAACCTTGTAAAACTTGTTCACTTCCAGAAGGTTGGTCGCTTCTGAAAATAGCAGAAAAATGCTTTACTCATCAAACACTTGCATAATCGTAAACCCCTTTAAACAGGCTCCTGTAGAAGAACAATCTGTTGGATTCTACATTGTTGCCTCATTACTAACGGTGTTACAAAACATTAGCATGGTTTGAAAGTCCAAGGCAGGGATGTCCAAACTCCATTCTCAAGGACCGCTGTCCTACAGGTTTGTGATGTTTAGTCTTTAGCAAAGCTGCTTCTGATGATTGCAACTAAGCAAATGCCTGTTATTATTATTATTTTTTTTTATTTATCCTTTATTTAACCAGGTAATACCCATTGAGATTAAAAATCTCTTTTGCAAGGGAGACCTGGCCAAGATAGGCATCAAAATTAAATCACATCATTACATACGTACAAAGACACACACATAAAAGCCAAATATGCACTTACAATAAAATTTCAATTAAAACATTGACATGTGAGGGAGTCTAACTCAAAACATCTAATTCTCAGCTTAAAAGTATTCAAAGGAACCAATTTACTAAGTTTCATGTTATTTTGCAGCAAATTCCATGTAAAGGGAGCAGAGTAAGCAAAGGCCTTTTTACCCAGCTCAGTACTGACACGTGGGACAGAAAACAAGACAACAGCCTGAGAACGGAGAGAGTAATGACCAGTACTTTTTTTCATAAGAAGTGAACATAAATAAGATGGAAGCGCACCAAGAATAGCCTTATATATAAATATATACCAATGACAAAGCCTCCGTGTAGCCAAGGCAGACCACCCTACACGAGAATACAGGTCACAGTGATGGGTGCGAGCTTTACAATTAGTAATAAATCTCAATGATGCGTGATAGGCTGCGTCAATCATCTGCAGGCATTGAGCAGATGAATGCATATATAATATATCACCATAGTCCAGCACAGTTAAAAAAGTGGATGCCACCAACCGTTTTTTTTACATTAAAAGAAAAGCACAGCTTATTTCGAAAGTAAAAACCCAATTTTAGTCTCAACTTTCTCACTAGACAGTGAACATGAGGCTTAAATGATGTTAAACAGCTATTAGTTGAAATCAACTATGCTGAAACATTAAAAAATGTAAAACCTGCAGGACAGCGGCCCTCATAGACAGACTTTGGACATCCCTGGTCCAAGGTAGTAGATTAAGTAATAAGAAAAATATATTTTGACATCTCACAACATCATACCTTTCAGAGTGTAGCTACATATAATAAAAAAAGTGGATTCTGCCTTAAAAAACAAGTGTCATGCAGATAAAAAAAAATAAAAATTCTTTATTATTGATAATCCTGACAATAAGGAGTAAGTCACTGTAGGAAAAGGTTTAAACTGTGTAAAAGTACAAACTGTAGATTACCAGAGACTCTTTACACATTCCTCCAGCAAACTTAATATGGAACCTTAGTGCTTCTCACCTCTTTGTGTAAAAAGTTGACATCTTAGGTTGATGAGCACATAGTGTCTCCTACATTAGTATTTCTAATATTTGACTTAACATACAGTTGGAATTGTTGGAAAAATCATAAAGTCACCCCATTTAAATAAGAAATTAAACAAAACAGGGGCAACGGTTTCCAGCCATAAACTTTAATCTTAGGATTTTATGTAACAAGCAAACAAAAAGTAATAACACATAATTGTGTTGTTTTTTTTCTTTCTTCCAGATGTGCTCAGACTGTCTGCACTTAAAAAAATGATTTCAATTAAAAAAACAAAAGAAATGTGGAAACTGTGTGATTTTTTAATCAGCTCCTTTGAGTTAATAGTCTATAAAACTTCCTTAAACTGCAAACTTGGCTGCAAGCCTTTGGAACTATGCTCTACCAGCTTTGCCCATCTAAAAACCAAATGTTTACACATTCCTCTACAAAAAAACAGCTACATCTATATTCCTTGTTCAGGGCTGTGTTCCTATTGAACGGTGAATTTCTCTCTAAGTTTGTTCAAAGGAAATTGATTAATCAGATATTTCCATTTAACCCTTTAAAGTCAAGTGTATCATATTTGATACATGAGTTTTTGAGACCTCTGCATCAACAGTGTGATTTTTTTTTAAACCTGACTTACATAATTGAAGAAACAACAGAAATGCCCAAATGTATCACAATTTATGCAAACAAATTTTCTTATTTAACTTTTTTTAAAGAGTTCAATGACAATTCTAATTTTGAAAAAGTAGTATTTTCTGTCAATTGTTTCATGGTTCAGGCTTTAAATAATTAAATTTATAAAGGAAAAAGTAAGAAACCCATAGTTTAATTTCACTAATCAATTTCCACAAATGTAAGATAACTTATGTTGGATCATAACATACACTTACAAGAAAATACCCTGATGTTGGCGATTGTAAAAAAAAAAAAAAAAAAAAGAATAACGTCAAAGCATATATAGAGTGTGAGGGTCTGATAAATCAATATGGATTTTTATCAAAAATGTGTGCAAAACTAACTTTGTAGTAATCATTATGAACATTTTCAAATGAGATCCATGAAAAAATCCTCCAGACTCTTTTTTTGTTAAAGGCAAACATGTTATTTCACCTGTAACACAACCTGACCTGTAAACAAGTGAGGATGTCAGTCAGCAGCTGATGTGATAACAGTTATGTTTCCAGCCTGCGGGCAAGGATTCACCCAGCCTCTATGGAGTGACTGCTCGACAGCTTGGAAAAGACATTTACCTACACTGGCACAGTTTCAAGTAATTCTGTTTAGACACTCTTGTCTTATTCTCTTTCATACTTCCTCGCTAACGCACAAACACACATCCCTGGCAGTCCTCCAGCCTCGCTGTGATGTACTTAAACAGCATGTCCTGCAGCATGTCTGGAGCAATCTCAGTCATCGGCCTTCGCTCTGTTTGCCTGCAAATCTCTCTGACGAACAAGCATGTTACCTTCCTTTTTCTCAAGTCTTTCCACTCAGATGATTTTTACTCAGCGAATTACTCCTGTCAGCAGTTTGTGTGCTGAACAGAAAACAACTGGAGGCAACACTCTTATTTGGGCCCACTCCCTCCAGAATAATATAAACCTTCATTTTCTATATACAAAAGCAGAAATATTGTCTGGAAGTCAGAAAATACAGTTTAAACTAAATTTCTTTAAGCATTGTGTAAGAGGATATTTCAGCTCAATTTTCTACCAGCTTTAAATCAGACTACGCTGTTTTTTAAAGTATTTTTATTGATCAAAATACGCATGTCAAAATATGATTTATCCTTATGCATCTGGATACAGTGATAAAGACGATATACTGCAATTTTTATTGTATATCTCTGGAAAACCTCCAAATGGCAACCTACAAACTTGACATAATAAACCAATTCTGTTAACACAAAATGCCAAGTTCCAGCAAAGTATTGTGAGAAGCTTGTGGATTGACCAATGTCATACAGTTTAAAGGCAGCTAAACTGGATATAGAGGAAGTGTATATAGGCTTGTGAATTTAAATTAAGTAAAATTATATTTGGCTGCACGGTGGTGCAGTTTGAAGCACTGTTGCCTTGTAAGACCAATGCTCTGGGTTTAATTCCTGGCTGAACAGGTGAAGTTTAGTTTAGTATTTATAGTCACAGAGCAATAAAGTGAAGTTGTTATAAAGCATTTGTATATGTCCCATTTCCAATCTATATTTGCCAAAGAACAGAGCTAATTACTTCAAAGAAATTAGCTAAAAAACATTTTGTGGGGGTCGTTTGGTCTAATGCGGTCCTTTAGCATACTGAAGAGGCCACTATGCTGAGCAATTTGGAGGTTGGGCAGCCAGATTATAGTAGATAGATGGCCTGGACTGAAGAAATGAAACTGAGTTCAGCCGGACAAACACATGCAAAACATTTCTAAAGGCAGCCTTAGTATCCAGCAAGCATGGACGGTGTATTGAGGTTTCAGAGACAGAACTCTCATTTAATACTAGTGAGAACAAAGCTGAAAGAACCAGTCTAGATTGGAAAAATGTTTGTCATTTACATAAATCATGAATACATATAAGCCTGGAGCTAGGACTTACGTAGAGGGTTGGTGAAAACAGGAGGCAGGTGATTTGCAAGAACAAAAAGTCAAAGTGGCAGCACACAGGACTAATTTTACTACTCTACTGTAACATTTATAGCATTGTAAGGAACTAAAGAAATAAAATACGGTACATAATAAATTTAAATGGTGCCCTGCAATTGACTGGTAACCTGTTCCTCCCTTTTGTCTGACTGAAGAACAAGCCATAGAAGATAGATAGATTGCGCGATATCTAACAATTTCCCAACCGATATTCATCAATAGAACATATTCACCCTAACGCAACTTATAAAACTGACTTAATAGAGATTTTTTTTTTTACTGTTACGATTTAGGATTAAAGAGTAGATTGTATGCAAGAAGACATATATATATATATTTTTATTGAATCAAGCCAGTTTGTAGTAATATTGCAAAACGAGATGCTATATGCAGGGGGGCCGCCAGGAATTTGGGGCCCCATGAAAGACATTGATATTGCCCACCAAAAAAAAAAAAAAGAAAATTACGCAAGCTTTAAAACTCCTACAAAGATGC